TTTTGAAAAACTCTTCGAATCTATCTTATTAAATAATGTCCTCTTGTTTTAATAATAAAATTTTAATAGTGACAATTTCACTAACCCGAAACAATTATATATTTGAATGTGTTTTTAAATTATTACTTAGAATTTTTGAAAAACTCTTCGAATCTATCTTATTAAATAATGTCCCATTGTTTTAATAATAAAATTTTGTTAATTATTTCCAAATCAGTGACAAAATCATGCCTATTACTACATGAGTATTCCTTATAATTGTATTTTATTTGCCTTCAATATCTGCATTTTCTAGAATCTATATCTTAGATATTCCTGGTTGTCTTTCTTTGTGATTAGGTTTAATATTTAATATTGATTTAGAAAATACACAGCATCAATTTTTCTTGGCAAATGAATCACTAGAATGTGTGACTTTGTAGACAACAATTAAGTTTAAAAATTCTTTAATTTTGGGCCGGGGATTTAGCTCAGTGATGCTGCCTCCTGCCTCGCAAGTGCAAGGTCCCAAGTTCGATCCCTGGTACCAAAATCAAAATACAAAAAACAAAATAAAACAAAAATTCTTTAGTTTTAATTAAATTAAATCCAATTTACTTTATTACATGAGGTAGACAAAATTTGTATTGTATTATTACATGAACATAACATAATCTATTGATCTATGGGAGCCATTCTGATTAAACAGAGTGGCTGATAGGCATTGGATAACAATGAAACCCTGAGCAAGGGCTGGGGATATGAGGAACTTGGGCCACTGGTCAGGACCTGCACACAGATTATGCAGATACTCTCTTTAACTGTCACTCTCATTCTCAATACAGAGGACATTGAAGTGTCCAGAATGCCCCAACAAGGGGGAACAATTTGTGAGTGTGTGTGCCTAAGTAATTATATTAGAATTAAAACCATTGCTTTAGTAGCTATAGTATTTTACTTTGTTTGGATCATTTTCTCTCACAGCCAGGGTTGCTTTACGTGGTTTCCTAACTACTGTGTTGAGGGATGTGTACCTCAGCTTTGCTGTCTGAGTAGCTCATCGGGATCTTAAACTAAGCCACAAGGAGTTAGAGGAGTAAAGTTCAAAAGGAAAAATAAAAACATTTTATTTCCAAGGAAAGAGGAAAACAGGGAGAGCACAGAAAGCTACTATGTGAGATGTAGGTAGGGGGGTTCAGAAAGGCTAATACCTGTGAAGATATGTCTTTAGCTTTGTTGAATCAAAATGATTCTCTCTCCTAGGTCCATACCTGGAACTTGTCACAACCTGATTGGTTCTCTGGACTGGCATAGGTGGATCCCAGGCCCTGAACCCAACCCTGAGGTTCCACTATTTACATGCACATTCCTAGGGGGGCCACGTTGTCCTCATCAGGGGCTTATCACTAGAATTCATAGGTTGGTTAGGAGCAATTTTACATACAATGTCCAGTTAGTGATTAAGTATATAGAACATTAATATACTGACCATAGAGTGAGAAAAAATACATATATATATGTATATATTTTTATGTATATATATATATTATGTATTTAATAAAAGTTATATAATCCCCTATCCCTTTAAATTCCATGGAATCTAGTGGATGTGGGGAGAGGTGGGTAACCTGCCTATGACACCTCCCTACCTGCCTCAGAGCTCTGATTTTTCAGCTCTCCCTTGTCTTGGTAATTGTAAAGCTTTAACTCTTTCTAGTCAAGATTAGCCAGAAAACCTATAGAGCCCTACATAACCTTTGTCAGATACAAGCATCTGCTAGTTTATTTGTTGGGTTTAAACTCATTATATTTTTTATTTTCCATTTATTTTCCATTTACTCTTCTCTTTTTATTCCTTCTATATTCATATTCCCTCAAATATCCCCTCCCTCTCTTGTTCTTCTGCATAAATGTGCTCATGCAAACCTATTTTCCACCTTTCTCACCTTGTTACTCTCCCTGTCTGTTCCTGGGTAGTGAATTTTCCAAAGACATTTAAAATTACATGCTGATATATGGATATTCATCAGATATTGACATTATTGGTGTTTATTATATTCTAAAAACACAGTACTAAGAGGTCAACCTCATGCCAAAATTGAGACCCAAGGGGTGGACTACATATTTTCATGCTAAGACATAACATCCTAAGAAACATCATGACAACAAAGCCACTTACTCAAAATATTCCACACAATAGGTCTTCCAGACTCCATTCCGAATGATCTTCAAACTTCAGCACACACACACACACACACACACACACACACACACACACACACACACTCAATCATCCCTACTGAATGAGAGTTT